ATTTAAATTAAATTTGGTGTTATCATTTAAATTGACTGATTCGAAGTTGACAATTTCTCGATGAACGGTTTTTGAGTTATTGCCCTTGACTTAGGCATAGTGATTTGACAAAATGTACCTATTTTTAGGGAAAAATAATCATCAAACCATACATTTCTGTTTACATATTTCAGGACTTATAACAGAGTTGAAAATTTAGTTCAATTTTTGTGAAATTATTGAAAAGAAATAATAAAACAGGTAATGCAACTCCTCAACATTGTAACACTGTTTTGTCTTTGAAAGCAATTGTCGTGATGATGATAAATGAATGAATCCAACTAATACTATCGAAAAAATGATCTCATATTTACTATTTTATGAAATTGTTTCAAATCTCTTTGAAATTCACTTTATCTCTCACTAAGCATTGTAGCAAAGCCATGAGCTAGTTTGCATTTGGTCAAGGGGGAATAATTTAAGTTTTATGCAGTCTAAAGTTAAATTTAGAATTCGGCGTCACCGTCTTCTATTTTGCGAAGTCAATGTTACATTACTGCAAAATCAATGTTGTACTTGTTCTGAACAAACACCAGCTTAACGTAGTCTAGCTGCACAGGTTGCTGTGAAGACCAACATTTTGATAGGCTGCCAATCAAAAACTAACAGAGATGTCAAGCTGAAATTGTCACTGAAGGTACATACCCATCCGAAGTTTCTATGTTCCAAATTTCAGGTTCCTGCTACAGTACTTTTAGACTCAGAATGTTTTCCCAAACCAAATGTAAGTGATTTTCCTCTTGAAAACAAGGGTGGAACATAAAGTCGATTTTCTCGCAAGTTTGAATAAATTCCGAATTTCAGTTTTCTACTTGGCTGAGTTATGGCCATTTTAGTTCGGGGTGGGGTATGATACCAGCCTAATGCAATCTAGTTGCACTTATTAGGGTGAAAACCAATACGGCAATTTGGGATGAAGGTTCGCAATAATATGAAGTTGTGCTCTTCCAAATTCCTACCGTGAGAACTCTGCCGGTCAAAGCACTATTAGTTCTGAAATTTTTCCCAAACAAAAATCTAAGCCAATTTCCTCTTGAAAATCAGTGTGAAACTTCAAAGTCGATTTTCTCGAAACTTTGAAAAAATTCCAATTTTCTTTTTCCGACTGAAATAGTCGTGGACATGTAAAACTTTCATTAGACACAAAATTTATACTTCCAGGGTCAAAATTGGCCGAATAATGGCCAATGAATAATGAAAAGTTTCAATTACATGTTCTTTGTCTTTGAATGTCTTTACATTTTCACGTATTAGGACCCTTATATACGGAAGCGTAATAGGGCCATTCATTTTTTTTTTTTTGAATTTTCAAGTTAGTATGTTAAATTTTCAAGTTAGTATGTTAAATTTTCAAGTTAGTAACTTGAATTTTCAAGTTAGTATGTTGAATTTTCAAGTTAGTATATGAATTTTCAAGTTAGTAACTTGAATTTTCAAGTTAGTATCTTGAATTTTCAAGTTAGTATCTTGAATTTTCAAGTTAGTATCTTGAATTTTCAAG